TAGCACTAAAAAGTACTACGTAAAAGAAATTATATGCATGCAAAATTTGCATGAATACATATCTTTTTCTGCTATATTTAAATGTTCAAAGGTGCATATGAAATGCGGAGTCGAGTCCCAAGTCGACTTGGGACCGAACTTAATAAAGACTCGTCGAGTCGGATCGGACCGGACTTTACCATCCGACAATGTCCGATAAATGTCATAGAAATCACTTTGATTCCTGGAACACCCATTTTGCGTTTACAGCTATGTATTATCATAATTCCTGGAACACCTAATAAAAATTAGCCGAATTATTTTTCAGCGGATTCTATTAAGTTTGTGATTTCGGCATAATTGGATTCAAATTGATATAATTTAGGATCCAGTGACTAATACGTATAAATATTATGAGCCTAGTACTATACGTATATCTCTTGTTGAATACAGATTTCAAAAATTGCCAACACGGTGTTAACCGTAGAATAAGTATTATACGTGATACAAAAATAGCTTCTATGTACCGATCATACTTAAATCACGAACCTGCTGGAAAATCATTTGGCCGATTTTTATCAGGTGTTCCAGGAATTATGATAATATATAGCTATATAATAGACGTTTATCCGAAACAGTTAAATACAATAATAACAGCACAGTCTAGTGTATAATAGCTAATTAGACACATGGAACATATACAACAGAATAATAAATCCTATTAATATGATATTTATATAATAATTTAAATTTTCCTTTAATTGCTTGAACATATCAGTTGAATTAGGTTCCATAGTGTACACCTATTCCGTGGCTAACATAGCCGCTAGTGCTTTTATAATATTTTAAAACATATATATATATATCAGTAATAAAGTCAAAATAAAATAAAATAAACATAAATAAATAAATAAAGGATAATACTTACCAGCACCAACCCCTGATCCATCACGAGCCAAACTAATTTTAACCTTGTTAAAGTTCGTTCCAAACAATTCTCGTAAAGCAGTTTCAAGACGCTCACTAAAATGAGGATAAAGTTCAAATAAAGTACCATCAATCCCAACACTGACTCCACATTCCACCATGCCACAGTGAATGATAACAGCAGCCAATGTCGTAGACGATAATCTTGCAGCACGTAAACCAACAATTTGACAGACTCTCTTAACAATTTGACGATCGGTAAGCGTGGTGGAAGGAATGTTTAATGACTCTTCTAAAACTTTTTTGGTATCATCTAACGTATGACTTTCATCAGCCTCGATAACGGACATGTATTCTGTCTCAAAAGAGTAGTTCCTGTTGAGATCTTTTGAAGAATATCCATCGAAAAGTAACATGCGGTCAATGAGATGTAGTAAGATATTGCGTGCTATCTCTCCGAGATACATTCCAGATATCATTTTTTCAAATATTTGAGAATGCGGATTATTCGATTCGCGATCGAGTTTGTTGTCGAACATCGTGATTGGAAGAATTTTTTTCTTAATAAAAGATATATATTAATTTACTTTAGCATAGAAGTGTAATTATATTCATATTCGTTGTAAATTGGAAATGAAATTTATTACCTCACTATCAAAAGCACCCCATTCTACATTAATAATCATTTTTTCTGAAGCATCTGGAATTTTATTTAATTTTTTAATTTTGGAAATGTTCTCATAGTATGCACCATTAGTACCAGTTCCATAGATAATTCCAATAAGAGTTTTGGGGTCTTTGTAAGAATGAGATAAAAGGGTACCCACAGTGTCATTGACTAAAGCTGAAACTACAGCAGGAACTCCTTTGCGGTTCAATGCTTCCTGAAGCATAAACACCACATCTTTATTTTCACTATCGGAACATGTAAATCCTTTTGTCCATTTTATTAAAGTCCCTTTATTGATGGCTGTTTGCTCCACAGGAAACGAAAAAGTGAAACCCATTTTAAATATTTTAGCATTTTCTGTATAATCTGTTACAAATTCAGCCAAGAATTTGTCGACGCAATCTGCTATGAAATCAAACAATTGACGTCCAGAACCAGTTCTCTGGGCTTCAGTTATTCTATATTTATGTTGCTTGGATTTTACAATTCCCTCTCCTTCAAAAGTAAACTCACAAACGCGAAGATTTGTGCCTCCAAGATCTAGAGCGAGAAAAGTGCCAACTTCCTTACCAGTTGGAACACCAGTCACTATTGTTTATTTGAACAAATTAATTGTAACAATTGTTTCAAAAAAAAAAAAAAAACGCATGATTACCATCAAAATTTTTTCAATCAGAAAATATACCAAAACTAGGAATCATCGCAACATTCATTCCAGTCTTTTCAAGTCCCTTATCCATTTCATTACAAAAATACTTGATAATTTCTGAGAGTTTTTCGACAGTTAAATCAAATTCTTTAGCTATTCCATCGATAGCAGATAATTGAGCATTTGAGGCACCCTCGATGTGCTCAACTTCGTCTCTAATGATTGAGCTTAGTATTGGTGGCATTTTTAATTTCTGGGAACAAGACAGTTAAACTGAACGTATCCCGTTTTTATTGCACTACGGGTAAATCTTCAGCATAATGATGAGATTACGGTCGTATACTTTTTTGGAAAAGCTGATCTGGTGTTACAGAGGACGAGATCAGGTGTAAAATTCAGTTTGACCTCAGCAGACCCATAAAAAAAAAATACAGCTGATATCACTTAAATCACTATGACGACATTGATTTTATGGCTTGTATATTAAATTGATTATAA